ACCGTTCCGTTCCCTTCCCGGGTAAAAACGTAAAGAAACCTTTAGTTAAGGTTACCTAACTTTTTACTTATCTTCCTTCGTTCGCCGTTTCGGTAAGTAGAGAGAGAGAGAGAGAGAGAGATTGAGGTTTCAAGTGTAGAGAATGAGTCCCCTTAGCTAGTTTATATAACATAAAGGCTAGGGTTTCTAGAGTTAGGGTTTTGCCATTATTTTTAGACTTAATTTTCAGTTTTAATCTTAGAGACCTGTGGGGTGAAAAGATCTTATCTATTCATTCATTATATCAACTATCATGATTAAAGGAATGAAGTGGAACTATTATCCCTAAATTTTCATAACTCAATTCCCATCAAATATTGTGTATAGAAAGTATTAAATCTATTTTAATTAGTTTCTTATACTTTCATTTTTTTAAACAATCAAAATCTCTACACAACATTTTTTAAAAATTCTCAAATCAACCCATGGCTTAATAGTCATAATTAAAAAATAGGAAAGTATAGAGGAAGTGGGGTGTACCAAGGGTGGATATGTGGGCCCCACACCCTCCAGTATGGTGGGCTCAATGAGCCCCAATAGGCCTCCAATACCTTAAACATAATTTTCAGATAATAAAATAATTTTTATAAAGGTTCTAAGTATTTTATTTTTCTTTCTGATTAAAATAAATTCAGAAATTTACTTTTTCACATTAAAAATCATTTTTAATAAAATAAAAGAGGTCTAAAAATTTATTTTAATTATCTAAAAAATGAAAAAAGAAAATTTCATATTTATTTTAAAAAAAATAATGGGAATTGAATCTATAGAGTTAGAATTACAACAAATATACTAAGCATGACATCATCTCTAGAGACTGCATCTCAATACACCTTCTCAAACTAGCCTAATGTTATGACCCATAACTCTTCGTAGCATTTCATGATTTAACTATCAAAGTCAGCCAATAAATAAAAGAGATATGATCCTAGTTCATGAATTACAGGTATCTCCTTGACAGTAAGTCCAAGCTCCATTTCATCACCATGCTTCATGGGTCCTTCCAATACAGTTCAGTATTGCAGGGAGTCATCTCTTTCGCATATGCACATGTCACACACACTTATCCAAAGGGTTGCTTCTAGGACGGCTATGTAGTGTATATATTGTGTGATGGTACTGATGATGATTTAGACCTTTGTCCTCTCATGCCATACATCACACGTAGTGGTAAAATCTATATCATCTGGCCACCTGTCCTGAGCATAACTCCGACCTCATCAAAGGATAACTTCATATCGAAACCCTTTTCGATTGTGCTCATACAATGCCGAGGGCTACGGGTTTTTAGACATCAACTTGAGCGATAGCTTGTCAAAGCTCAGGTAAGTCTAAGTATTGGAAATGTCTCACAAGCTAATGTGGACCACACTCCTACTGGAAACAATATTTAATTTCAGTATATACTCTCATAAGGCCTTTAAATGGACACACAACCCCAACACCGATGACAAGGTTGAGAATAATGGTCCCGGTGGCAGTCGCAGTCACTCATTACAAAAAGTTGGGACACTCTAAAAAAAAAGTGTTACCCATGGGAAAAACCCTGGTAAAGGGAAACCTATTGCTCAAGTTGTTCAATGTGAGATGCTCATCTCTATTGACAAGCTAAAAGAGTTACTTCAACAAATTGGGAAGGTGAACATTGCTTCCTCTCCTGAGATACCACCTACTACTCAAGGTGATTTTTCTGCTCACCTATCTTCTACTAATTATCATACTTTGGTCGTTGATACTGGAGCCACATATTATATGACTAATCAATGCGAAGGACTCAGAGTTTGAACACACTTCTCGAGTGTTGATGTGTCATTTGCATCTTGTAAGGTGTTCAAATGCCAAATAAGAGATGTTGGGTTTTTGTGGGTTTTAAAGACCTTACAAGAGTATGGAACGAAATTTTATAATTGTGTGTATGAGAGAGATTAATAGAATGTCATATAATATATTTTAGGGTACTTATCGCAAATACTTTTTATTTTTCCAAAACTATGGAAAGTACCCAAGTTATTCGTACATTGATAAGCATCATGCATCATCACGGCACTAATGGTGCATGACGCAGCTCAATGCCCACGGGGCTTCCTGGTTTCGTGTTGAGGGCCATGATCACGGCACTCCTAATACCGTGATGCTACTCTTTAAGTATGTGTCTTCAAGGATCAGAACTAGTGTCATGCATCATCACTGCAATAAATACTCAATACATAAAACGTATTTTAAGAAATAAAAGGTATTTTAAGAAAGAAAATGGGAAAGTGGAGAAAAATGGGTATAAATATTGTTTTAGAAAAAATAGGAATTTTTTCAAAGAAAGGGTGCGATTTGTATAGAGCCTAGGCTCTAAACAATCGAATTAGAGTCTACCTTCATATAGTATCGATAAAAGTGGTTTCAATACTGGAAATCTTTGTGATAGCTTTAGAATATATTCTCATGTTTATTTATAAAGTTGAAAGCTTCAAAAATAGTGTAGATCGATAGATCTATGAAAACTTGAAAATCTTGAAAATTGACGGTCTAAAATGAGTTACAAAATACACTATTTTCAAAACTTGAAATCCATTTTTTTCTTATGTCCATGCATCTTGATTGTCGAGATGATCACTTTGAAGATATTTGGACATCAAAACAACTTCTTCTAGTGAAATTTTTGAGGTAGGCTCAAATTTTATTGTTTAGAGCCTTGGCTATGTATGAACTTTTCCCTTTTAGAAAAGTAATGGATATCATGAGGGTGTGGTTTGTATAGAGCCAAGAATCTAAATAATAGAAATAAAGGCCTCCTTCAAATAAATGTGGTTTCAATATTAGAAATATCTAATATTTGTGATAGCCTTAAAATATATTTTCATATTTTATTATAAAATTTAAAGCTTAAAAAATAGTGTGGATTGAGCAGATCTATGAAAACTTGAAATTTGACGGTCTAAAAATGTGTTACAAGATGCACTATTTTCAACACTTCAAATCTTTTTTTTTTTCCATGTTCATGCATCTTAAAATCGAGATGATTAATTTGAGGATATTTGGGCATCAAAACAACCTTTTCTAATGAAATTTTTAAAGTAGGCTCTAATTTGATTGTTTAGAGCCTCGGCTCTATATAAAGTTTTCCCATGTCATAACTACCCTAGTTTTTTATACGTTTATATGTGAATAAAAAATAATATAATACACAAACCCGTTGAGAGAGAGAGAGATTGGGATCATAGCCATTATAATATCGTTTTTATATAAATAAAAAGAAATGCAATACACAAACAGTTTGTTGCATCATGTCATCACACAAAATGTAAAATTTCTCTCATAAGATTCGAGCAAAAATCGCACATAGAGATAGAGGATGGCTGTGGGGAGGCCGGTCCTTATAAAAAGAGATAAAGGCATAGGAGATTTTCAAGGTTGGTGGTTGCCCTTTAGATGGTATGGGGGTGGGCCACTTTTCTTTGAAGAGGTGGAACCCCTTGTATGTAATAAGATATGAAGTTTGAAAAAGAGAAGTAAAAATAATGAAAATACCTCTTTAAGGAGGTGGGACTGGCTGATTGATTCTGTCAACAGACTAGTCTTGTCGGGAATAGGCTGGTTTCCGATACATGGTGGGAACTAGACAAGTCCCACTAATTTCCAATCCCAATCAAACAATTTCGATCCATTTCAATATTTTTTAAAACATTGATTAGGACAAAATATAAAATGCAGCTGTATTTGTAGTAAAGGCCAAAGGTATTTCTAATATTATGTAGTAAAGCTAGAGGTATTTCTAATATTATGGCCATTCATTTACGTTGTATCTTTGTTGTATCTTTCCATGTTGATTGTGTTCCAAATATAAAAGGAAAATTGTTTCATGCGGGCTGGACCGCATGGTTAGGTCCAAAAAGTGTAAAGAATCCATCTTAAAAGTAGATGTAAGTAGGTGTTCTATCTAAAGTCAATGAAAACTAATGATCCAAATGTTTTTTTACTAGAATTATTATTTCTAGTTTTTAAAATTTACTTATTTTTTCATATTCATGAAATCCATGTTACAGATTACATGTCCTTAAAAAGTAAATCCAGAAATCCATCTCAAAAATAGATTTATTAATAGGCCCACATTTCTAAATATGCGGGCTTTGCAGCATAGAAACCAGGTCCAATTTAAAATCCCCACCTTTTATATTGGAAATTATAAAGTTCCTAATCACCCACCACAAATAAAAGTCCAGTCCCTCATTCAAACTTTTAGGGTATGTTTAGTACATGTGAAATTTTTACAGGAAACAACTCCCCATGTGATTAGGTGTGTGAATTTTTTCACACTAATTGGCTGCCAATTGACATGAAAAAATGCGTTGGGACCAATTCGATGTGAAAAAACTCACACCTAATTGCATGAGGGTGTTCTTTCATGTTAATATACTTTCATAAAAATATTTTTACATATACTAAACGTGCCATTACTTCAAACCAAGTTTACACAGACAATGAAAATAAAAAGCAATAGAGGCACCAGGTTAACAAATTTTTCTTCATTGTTTTTATTCATAATCGAAATTTCATCATATCCACGGACGCATCCAAAGAGTTGCAAAGTTTTCTTGTAACAAATCAAATCTGCCCCTTCGTTGTAAAAGGTCCTGTACATATAAAGAGAGACCCTCCAAACCAGGCTACCTCAAAATCCAATGTCCATATCCTGCAAAATCACATCCCTTTGTCTCACCATTTTTGCAAACCATCAAAAATTTTCTCTTCCATCTTAACCAAGATCTTAACAATGTCATAGTTACAATCCAAATAATAATCCAATCAGTTCCCCCAAATTCCTACCATCAAAGATTTTACTAAAGTTCAGCACTGATCAGCCTGAATCATTCAGACATAATTGATATAGATCCACATGCTCTCCAAATAGACTTCACAATAAATTACATAACCCATCTTGAGATCGAGAAACAGTTCAATAAAATAAACTGAATCTAGTTGAAAACTGCTTTTGGGGGAAAACTCTTTGCAAATTTGTCTCTTCGTTGGAGAATCCTGAAAGCTCAACTTTCTGTTAAAAGCCTTTTATTAAAAGGGAAGCATAGAGCAGCTCATTCCATGTATCAGGAACTCCAGGCAAGCACCAATGACTACAATCTTGAGATTTCTCAGCCGCTGCAAATTCTTCAGGGGATTTAAATTGCTTTCTGTAAACTGAGGGGTGTGCATCTTTTCTGTAATCTGTCATTCTACTGATATTGAGATAAGTTACATGAGTTTTCATCTTGTGAAGAACTGATTCTAAGACTTTCATTTTTGGGGGGTATTTTTTGAGGTAGGCATTGTTGTAAATTGGTTCAGTTTCCTTGTGACATTGCCCTCCCGAGTTCCATCGGCCGCCACTGCAAAAAATTTCAACCTTTCTCTCAATATTTGGAAAGTTTCATCCATAACATCAAGGATTGAATGTGTCCTTGTTAAGGTGTGTATGTGTGTGCATGTGTGTGGTGTGTGCGTGTGTGTGAGTGTGTGTGAGAGAGAGAGAGAGAGAGAGAGAGCAGGGCGGGGGAAGGGTGGGGTGGGGAAGAGAGAGACAACCTTACGGAGAGAAGATGTATAATTAATAGTGTCCCGAGCACTTAAATCAGTTCAAAGAGACAGGCATCTAACTAGTTCAAACAAGGATCAATTTACCTGAAATGGGTGATAGAGAATCCTCTGAAGAAGACCCAAGTTTTGGTGGAATTAATGTTCTCATCGACCCATTTGGCCAAAGTTGTGAGTGCCTTTCTATAAGCTTCCATGACATTCAATGACGGATAAACATAGTCACCTTCTTGGTAATAATCTTTTCTGTCCAAACAGAAAACAGAAGCAATGCTAAATTTCACAATGGTCAACTACATACTTCAGTGACTGAAACAATAATTGTTGCAGAGAATCAGCAAAGATAGGTTTGAATAAGATCCAGGAAATTATGCATCTTATAAAGGCCCATACTTTTGTTTGACAAGCTCTAAAGTAAAGAGGTGACAAATGGAAAAGGAATCCCTCAAGCGAATGTTTTCTCTATTCTCAAACAAGACAGCATACTTTGTAGTCTTTTCAAGATTTGGCAAGAAAATCAAAATAGAGAGAAGCATCCAATTAAGAGAGACCAGACTGCTTAAAACCTTCTTGTAAATTTCTGTATTGCACTTCTCTCTCTCTATGTTTTTTGTTTGTGTGTGTGTTTTGAGCGGGCAGAGCGCACTATGTTGAGCCCGGGGGGGGAGGGGGGGGGCACGGTGTGCAGAGAGAGAGAGACTCATTCAGGCTTTTTTTTCTTTGTTGTTGTGCTATGAAACCCAACCTCTACCATCTTGAGCCAAGCCCGACTCCTAACTCAATTCAGGTGTTTATGCTAATGCTTGTTTCTCCTTAAACAACAAATTCTAGATTGAATATAATTGACAAGGAGACTGATATTTTGAATGTATCATGTCGACCAGCTCTCTCTGCGAAAAGCAAGAAAGAGCAAATACATAAATAAAATACAGAAACGGAACAAACTTGGTATAAGTTCTCACCCCAAAGAGGTTTTCTCATGGGTCCACCAATGGCCTGTGTTAAAGACAATAACGTCAGCTTCTCTATATTTCAAAGTTTTCTTATCCATTAGATCCAGCCTTAGAGTCTCCTCCTCAGTTCCATTTGTACCATTAACAGACCACTCCTGAACCAGGAAAGGAGCTCTAACAAATTCTACAGAACAATTGTAGCCCTGAAAACAATCAAACAAACAAATATAAATAAAATAGTTTGGTGAAAAATAAGAAGAGCAAATGAAAATTTTTATTTCATGATTACTATAAAAAGGCAAAAAAGAAGAGAGCAAGACATGAAGGAATTGCCTCATATCGAAAAGCATAAAATCCTTGTGTTCGGAATTCTCTTCTTCCCGATATCTCATAGACTGTACTTTTGTTCCCGACACTGTGGCGAAGTATGCAAACCAAAGACTCCCACATATTCCTATTCAATGAATCCCCAACAAAGACTAGCCTCTTCCCTCTAAGCCTCTCCAAGAAATCAGTAGCATTTAGACTGTAAAAAACATGGCAAGGAAGACGAAAATATTTACTAAAATATATATGGGCACAATCTAATAATCTATTTTCAAAAGACATAGTTGATGCATGCTGAACTCAGAATCCAGCTTCTGAACAAACTAGTGGTTCCAACACATACAATCAATATTTTCTCATCACATGCATGATGATCCAAATGGCAAAGTTTAACTAAGAATTTGGAAGGTTCAATTGCCCTTCATTTGGAAAGAGTGCAGGTATGTAAGCATGGATTCTAGTAGTAAATATGGCTTTCTTAACAACTAGTGAAAGCCATGGTAAATCCGATTAGATATTATACTAAGCAATTCAATAGATGCAATTTTACATGATTATATTGGGTGCAATGCATTAAAGTTCATGCAAGAGAAATAAATCTAAAACTAGTGCAGAAAACTAAAATTATGATTGTCGTGGAGACACACGTGCCCAGCGCGTGCATATGCTCACACGCAGACACACAGAGTACCATATGTAGAAAACTAAAAAAACTGAAATACGTAATAAACTGGTTTCAATCAAGAATGAAGAGTAAACAAATTTGGCACAGAGAAAATAAATTGGTGGAAGATAAATTAACAAGGAAACAAAAGGGAAAACCACATAGCCAGAGGGAATTATTTTATTTTATTTTTTTGTTTGGGTAGTTCAGCAGGAAGCGATCCCCTGCCCTCGGTAAAATTCAAGATATCACATAGTGGTAGCCCACCAACTTGAACACCTAGTCATGAGCTCATTCCTATGGACTCTGCACATCTTTGATTAAAAAAATAAACAATAAGTTAAAAAGGATTTCGAGTTTTTGAAGGATTCCAAAGATTAACAATTTAAGAAAAAAAAAAAAACAGAGTTTGAGATCTTGAACACCTGGTACCATCTATCAAATGAACCTCAAATTCAGAAGTCCTAGTGTTTACTCTGATCCATGAAATGAGCATTGTACAAAATTTGGGGTCCAATGAAGTGATCTGGCTGCAGTGGGCTTATGCTACAGAATAAGTTAATGCTGTGGTATAAGCCCCTGAGCTTAAATAGCATCCAAACAGAGTGGGTTTTACATGAAGAACACAGGAGTTTTAGAGTGAGGCATCATTACAACATGTCATCCATATGCTATAAATAGTTGATTATTTGAGAGAAGCTCTCACCTGGGGATATCACAGTCATCGGGCTTCCATCTCCATTTTTCATACTCAAAATCGGGCCTTTTGTTTCTATGACAATCGAAAGCTTCGTCTACATAAGCACAAGAACCAGCAGGGTAGTATGGCTTTGTTTCATCTTTCACCCATTTACCTGCAAATACATCACATTCACCCACTTGTTTTGCTTTTCCAGAACTCAAATCACCATTAAAATCCCTCTTCTTCGCTGTTCGAGACCCGTTTAATTGAGTGGTTTCTCCAAAATTCCCGATTTTTTCTCTCTCTTCTATCTGAGAGCAGTTCTTTAAGTGGATAACTCTATTTCCCTCTCCCAACTGAGAGCAATTCCTTTGATGGTTCTTCTCCGAATCCGCAAATCCTTCCACTGATGAATTGTAATGAGAGTAAAGCAGTGAATGTTGAGGAGAGAGACCATAAGATACATTGTAATGGAGCAGGGGATTTGAGAAGGATTCGCATGGAAAATCCAAAAAAACCACAGCCATTACCAGAAGTGCAACAACTACCCCTAACCCAAAACCAGAGACTGTTCTTCTATTGGAGTTCAGCAAAGTAGGAACCTGCTCATAACCAGAGACCTTTCTCCAGCAATCCATGGAGATAGAACAACACAGCTAGAGAGAGAAACAGAAACGAGACTTTGCTCTAGTAGTCCACAAAAAGATCAACACACCTAGAGTGAGAGACAGTACAACGAAAAGTGAGATTAATAGATAATTACCAAAAGAAAAAAGCAAGAAAACAGTGGGAGAGAGAGAAAACAGTAGAGAGAAACCCCCGTTAAATCCTAGGCAAAGACGTTACATTTAAATTGAAAAATCATAAAATTAAGGCAAAAGCAGAAGGGTAAAGAACATATTGTAGTAGTATACTACGGTTGTTTAAGATGCTGAAAAAGAGGATTAAAGAAAACTGTAAACTTGGTCGGAAATGGAACAAACATGTTATAAAAAGTTAAGTTAGGTTAATAAATAAAGAAAAGGTAACTAAATGTAGGAGAAATCGCCAAATTTGGCAGGAGAGGACGGCACGTTTTAGGTATCTTTTGGGAGAGGGGTAGCCTAAGCGTAGTTTATGAAGTTTACAAATAATTGGAAAAAGTTTATATAGAGCCGAGGCTCTAAACAATCAACTTTGAGCCAACCTCAAAAGTTTCACTAGAAGGGGTTGTTTTGATGCCCAAATATCATCAAATTGATCATCTCGACATCAAGATGCATGGACATGAAAAAAAAATGGATTTCAAGTCTTGGAAATAGTGTATTTTGTAACGCAATTTTGGACTGTCAATCTTTTAGATTTTTAAGTTTTCATAAATCTATCAATCTATACTATTTTTTAAGCTTTAAATTTTATAAATAAATATGAAAATATATTTTAAGGCTATCACAAAATTTTCAATTATGAAACCACATTTCTCGATACTATTTGAAGGTAGGCTCTAATTTGATTGTTTAGAGCCTAGGCTCTATACAAACCACAGCCCAAATAATTTAAAGAAAAAGTTTAACCATGTAGGATTAAGGTGCACCTTAAAAGTGCATCATGAAATGTTGTTTTGATGCTGGAAAACTTTCTAATTGATCATATGGACAGATGTGGAGATTATGAATATGAGGAGATAAAAGATTTTGAGTTCCAAAAATAGTGTATCTTTCAAAGAATTATCTAGACCTTCCGTTTTCAAGATTTTAATGTTTTATAGATCTACTTAATTTGAACCATTTTTTAAATTTAAAATTGTATAATTAGATATCAAAATATTTTCTCAAGCCATTTAGATACCAAAATTACATTTATGATAAAATTTGGAGGCGTGCCTTAATTTTATTGTTTAAAGTTCCCTTGGGTGTATTCTGTACGCTTCCTCAACTTATAATCTCAATCTTTTCAGTATTAAAACACAAGTATATACTATATAATGCTCTCACGTACCAAAAAAGTACATAAAGGTCAAAATATCATCTCAAAACTTAATGGAGATTACCGGTGTTGTCGAAAAATCTTCAAAGTGATCATCTCAATTTTAAAAATTATGGTTGTAAAAAAACTTTAAGATTTCAAGCTCTAAAAATAATGTATATTATAATACATCATCAAGATTGTCCATTTTCAAGGGTTCATTGATCCCCAAGATCTATACCATTTTATGACCTACAAATTTTATAATTCATGGTAAAAATATATTTTAGAGCCATCATAAGAATTTCTATAGTCGAAGTGTTTTCCATATTAAGTTTTGATGTGAAACTTTATTTTTTCTTAATAAGACCTAGAAACAGTACCTTTTCGTTTTTTTTTGTTGAGAAACGTTTAACCAGCCATAAAAGGTTCACCCGACTTACAATATAATTAATGGATGGAAAAACGCTTTCAATGAGTGAGACAGAGAGCTGGTAGGAACCTTTTTATTATGGGGAAGTTAATGCATGTATGTCTTAATTTATGTGGTATTTAGAAATGGGATTTCGTAAGAGCAATTTACTTTCGATACAACGATGTCACAATTACTTATAACCATCTGATGTGAAATTTGGTAGCTTGGGTGGGTGTGTTACAAAGTTTGAAATTTTTTTTTTTTAAGTTTGAGCTTGGTCAATAGAATAAATACATTCATCTAATTTTACATCCATAATTACGATTAATTGTGACCACCTTGTACTGAAGGTAAATGGTCTCATTGTATACTTTTTTTTTAAAAGTACATTTTATTGTCGAGCTCAAATATATCGGACAAGCCTAGATAATGATGATGATGGTATTTATACTCATGTTTTTATTGTATTTTTATTTAGGAGAAAAGACATATACAATATTCTCTCTCATTGAAAGAATGTCCTATACAATATCACCGTATCTTTATACAAATAGTTTATAAAATAATCTCTTATATTTGAACTAGGGCCTTTTATCTTTATAGAGAGACTGGTTTGGAACTTTAGTTTCTAAACTGATTTTTCCTTAAATCAATCAGTTCGAAACTCGATGTTCCAAATTGGTAACTCATTCAAAAAAATTAAGTGCCCGATGTTGGAAATTTGAGGTTCCAAATGGGTTATTCAATTGAAAAAATTAAGTGTCCTTAATTTGGAATTTCAAAGTTCAAAACTGGGGGCACTTAATTTTTTTGACTGTCCTTAATTTGGAATTTCAAAGTTCAAAACTGGGGGCACTTAATTTTTTTGACTGAATAACTGGTTTGGAACTTTTCAGTCCTTAACAAAGGACACTTAATTTTTTGTCTTAATAACGTGCTCAAAACTTTAAGTTCCGATCAGGTCCTTCACTCTTAAATTACACATGCCCAGGCGATTCGAAAGCGATTCGGAAACTGGTGTTTCGAACCGCTCATTTAGAAAACAATACATGAGATCAGCGTTTTAAAAAACGCCGAGTCGAACCGGACTCGCCCGGTTCGACTCGGAAATCGTGAAAAGGGGACCGGATCGCCCAAAAGTCGGAAATCGTCCGGTTCTAGAGAGAACCGGATGATTCTGCACAGTGAATCGCCGATTCACTGTACGGAATCGGCGAGTCCGAACAGTAAATTGGCGATTCCGTACGGTTTTAA